TATTCAATTATACCAGAAACAGCAATGATTAATATTCATAATGATTGTTAATTAAAGCATGTTTTTTTGGATAACCGTTTAATGATTAAATACCGATATTACCACCTTTCCAATGATTAAAATTAATTACTTAATAAATTTTTTTAAAGTAATTAATTAGTCAATTAAATTTTTTTTTAAGTAATTAATTATTAATCACATCGTTATTTTGTTATTTTTGATAATTTTCAATTATTTTTTGAACCTTTTTTATTAAACGATTAATATTATTTGATTAATTTCTGTACTATACACAAAAATTGAAAATATTTAATAACAGCCTGAAACATTTAAATATTTATTGTATTGTTAAACATTAATTATTACTTTTATAAATTTTAAAAAGGAATATTTAAAAAGAATAGACCGAAATGTGCAAATTTAATGAATTTAATTTATTTCAATGAAAACTTTTATTTTAATTTTAGTTCACTCAAAAATGAACTAAAGTGTTCATTTTATTTTGAAATAATGGTTTCTCTTGTATATTCAATATTATTAAAAGAGATAAAAATATAGTTTTATTGTACCGGAAACCTTTTGCTTTTAATAACATTTAAGGAAAAATGCATTAACATTTATGTTCGAAAGTTTGGAATATTTATGTATTTAGTATTGCTTTTAATTAATACTCAAAAAATTAAACACAAATTATTGGAAAATCTAAGGCTGCTAAATAGAAATGTATAATATATTAAAGTGGCTTTGGTCTGTAATTGGACTAGTATTTTTCTGTCTATTTTGAACTAGTATGAGACTGGTATATATCTGACCGAAATCTGGCAATTGCCATCTCGTAGGACATCCCCATGTTAAAAATACCTGTTGATTGCATGGAAAAAAGATAGTTGGCTGACTAGTTGGGCATGCGGTTCATACTAGTTGTGAGGTAGTTTACAACTAGTACGTTTGACTACAGGGTAATGACGCTAGAGCTTTTCATATATTGGTGTTGGCGCGGCAATTCCGACGTCGGTGTTAACGTGATTGAGCCGCGCAGCGCAGTGTTAACCTTGCATACTATTTCCCTACAACACAAATTTGTCTCTTGGCTCCCTAACTATTTACACAATCTTGGTGATGCAAATTTAGCATAGCGATTTTCTATTCAGTATAGATCTCTAAATAAAGAAATTATGTTCAAATAACTACACAATTCCCTATGCCCCGAAAATAAAGTTGTACTTTCCTTCCGACAGTACTCATAAAGAATTGGCCACTATGCAAAAACATCACTTGATTATACCTTTTTTCTTAAAATACGCAGTCATGTCTTAACCAAAAATTTCACTGTGCTTTTGCATTTGCTTATGTATCTGTATTTACATCATTAATCTCTTATAGGGTTGCCAAATTTTTCATGCTAAAAAAATCAGTACTTTTCAGTACATTTTTATTCAAAGCAAAATTATGAATGTAATAGGCAGCATACACGGTGCGCCTTACACGTGAATCAGTTTGGATGTGCTTGTGAAAATAAATATGTGTTACTTACACCTACATGACTCCTCCCTGCAGTACGGGGGAGCGACTACAGGACTGCAGAATCGGTAGCTACGTGATAAACTCCGTCAATTACCGACCGACTACTTGCAGTGTATTTCATCGATTACTTTTACAAGGCAATGTCCTAGGCGGTAGTCACCATCGGCTCTCACTGCACTTCCGGGAGTTACTAAAATAGTCACTTGCGTGATTTATGGGCGCCCTCTGTCGTAGTTTTTCGCTATCTGGTTCGGCTCTGCACTACCGCGGGTTAATAGAGTAGCTACTTACCTAGGAGTCGGTGCAGTAGCGGTTCGAAAGTAGCGATTGACTCCAGCAGTACTGGAGGGCTTGCATGACTCTTAATGATTCAATTGTGTGTAGTCGAAGGCGAGTCAACACGTACACAAATGACTCGCGAGTCAGGCGCACTGTGTATGCCACCTATAACAGCCGGTTTCACCAACAATTTAAATGGAAAATTATTTTTTACTAGTATCGTCCAGTTGTCGAAATTCGACACTTTTTTATACACTTTTAAATTTTGCTTATCATCAACTATGAACGGGACCAAAATCGTCTCCCGGTATTCCCCATAAAACCGCAACCTTCGAAAATTAAGAAAATCTTCCTTAAAAAATTTTTATGAAAAAATTACCTTTTTATGTTTTATTGAGACGAAAATGAACAGCAAAGCAAAACAAAATAATCGGAGGATGCCAGATCTTTCATAAAATTTATTTTATTTAAAATTAATTTGCAAGACTTGTGAATTTTTTTAGTGATAGATTTCGGCGCCCCCGGGCCCGCGGTACAATTCTGAAAAATGTCGGGATGAGCGGGTTCGGAAGATAAAAATTGAATTTCGGGATGGGGGGGGATCGGGACTTAATATTTAGACCCATGCCCATCTATACTCTCAATCTCTGCGTCACCTAACGGAAGACAAACACACTGGTCCAACTATCATTCAATGCGATTTAGAAATCTGGTAGAAAATGGTTCCAATCGAATGATTCTTGCCATTTTATATTATAGATGTAGGTGTATCAAATTCCATTACCTTATCATAATTGGTTCCAGATATAAGCGATATGAAAATTGCATTTCGGTTCGGTAATGATAACATATGCAGCTGCGTACAATTTCAGAACGTCAGCATAAGCGGATACACAGATAAGCGAAATGAGAAGTTCAGCTTGTATGGGAGGTGCCTCGCCTCTTTTTTCAATACCTACCGCTTTTCGCCATAAGTACGGTGTTGATAGCATATGTGGCTGTGTCAAATTTCAGGACGTTGGCATTAGCAGTTTCAGAGATAAGCGATAAGAGAATTTCAGTTTGTATGGGGCGGTGCCACGCCCCTTTTCCATTATCTACCACTTTTCACCGTAAGACCGGCATTGATAGTATAGTTGCTGTGTAAAATTTCAGCACGGTAGCATAAGCGGTTCCAGAGATAAGCGATATGAGAATCTCAGTTTTTATGGGCGGTGCCACGCCCCCTTTTCCAAACTCGACCAATTTTCGCCGTAAGTAAGGTATCGATAACATATGATGTCGTCAAATTCCAGGACGTTAGCTTTAGCAGTTTCAGAGATTAGCGATATGAGAATTTCAATTTGTATGGGGCGGTGTCACGCCCCCTTTTCCATTATCTACCACTTTTCGCCGTAAGCACGTTACTGTTAGCGTAAATAGCTGTGCTAAAATTCAGGATGTTAGCATTAGCAGTTCCAGATATAAGCTATATGAGAATTTCAGTTTCTATGGGCGGTGCCACGCCCCTTTTCCGAAATCGACCACTGTTTCCAATTTCAGGACGTTAGCATAAGTGGTTCAGTTTGTATGGGCGGTGCCATGCCCTCTTTTCCAAAATCTACCACTTTTCGCCGTAAGCACGTTACTGTTAGCGTAAATTGCTGTGTCAAAATTCAGGACGTTAGCATAAGTGGTTCCAGAGATAAGCTATATGAGAATTTCAGTTTGTATGGGAAGTGCCACGCCCACTTTTCCATTAGCCACCATTTTTCACCGTAAGTAGGGTACTTACAATCTATGCATCTGTGCTAGGTTTCAATTCTCCAGCATAATTGGTTTTAGAGATGTAGTGGTTTTCACATTTGAGTCGATATGTCAGATGCAACGCCCCCTATGTATCGGGATTAACATTTCTGGATTAGAGCAAGTTATATCCTTTAAATCGGTGTATGCTTCATTGAAATCGAGCGAACGTTGCCTTCAGAAAAGGGATTGCAAAATTTTCTTGTGGCGTAAATATTTATATATAGATTTTCTGTAAATTTCCATATATGTAAAATTAAACTAAAATCATTTTTCACTTAAATTGCTGTCGTGAAATTTACATTTTTGAATAGCAATAATGAGATCATTTCCATCTCCAGTGTTTAAATAATCAAAGAATTCTATATATTTCATATAAAAATTACTTTTAATGTGAAGTTCAATTTAAAAAATTTGAATTAGAAACAGGTTTTTCTCTTTTCGCCAGGAAGCACAATTAATACTCTCAGTTGCTTCGCACTATCATAACAAGCGAGTTTGAAGGATTAGATTCAGGTGAATGACATCCTGCGGACCGGAATAGGCATGTATCCCACGGAGGTCATTCGCAAGAATCTAATCCTTCACACTAGCTTGTTATGACTGTGCGAATCGGATTAGATCCATGCGGATGGCATCTGTCGGATACTGTAATAGGTTTGATTATTTCAAACTGTGGAAAAGTACCGCTGTTTAAGGACTTCATCCATATTTCTTCATTGCTGAAATTAATTTCTTCAAATTCGTAAAAACTTTTAAAGACTAAGAATTCGCTGAAAAGAGTATCTAACTCTATGTCTTGTATGCAAAACCCTTTAACAATATTAGTAAATTGTGAAAAAAGAGTTGTAAGTTATAGGCAAAAGCCGTTCGAATATTCATATTTGTTGTTATTAAACTGAAAGTTATTTTCGAGATAACTAACACTCGACAAAAAAGTCAGACCTGGCGATATGCCCATAATACGATTGATATTTTTGTTGTACTAATTTCTTGGGCATATCAAACATTATCTGAAACATGTCAACTATGTATAATTAAATTATTTTGTTCTTACCTTTTACAGAACAGTCTAAGGAAGTTTCAACGTTATGTGAAAACCTTTAGAAAGTCCTAAAGTATTTTGATTCAATTGAAAATTTAGTACAAATCAGTACAAATTTTGAAAAATCAGGTCATTAGCGTACTGATTGAAGAAATGAATAAAATCAGTACAACAGTTGAAAAATCAGTACTGTACTGATAAAACCAGTACGTCTGGCAACCGTAATCTCTTGCCAAAGAACGTAGACAAACTACGTTCTTTGCTCTTGGAAAAAGTTTGGGGTTAAGATTGTGTTTTTTTACAAAGAGTTCTTCTAAGGAAATGTACTCTGACAATAAAATTAAATTTTTAATATTTTATCTTATAGTCAATGCGCGAACTTTACCTCACCCGCGACATCATAGTAATATTTCAAATGTATTGGACCACCGTGCCCACGATGATCAAGTTCTCATCAATAAAGGAGTTTATATTCCGTCCCCTTCGCCAGCGCCGCCACCTGATGGTTCATATTACAATATGAATAGCGATAGGTATCTTTCGTATCCGCCTATGGTAAGTATCCCAATATTATTACATACATAAGTAAGTTAAATGAAAAAATGTATACAAATATTTGTATAAATATGTATTGTCAATCAGTTATAATCAGGGAACGGATTTTTAGGACCTAAAAACCTATAAAAAGGTAAAATAAAATAACGAAATAGGCTTAGAAAGGCAACTAGAAAAAGACAAAAACCGAAAACAAACAAAAAAAAAGTACAATTATCTTAAATGTTTATTTTACAAGTAACAAGTAATTTTTTAAACAAAAAACAAAACTGACTTCAATTCTCATATAAAAAAAAATATATATATATACATATATATATTTCATAATCCAATGATCGGATCTAAACCAGATTAGTATGGGACCACCTCTGAGACACTACCTTTCCGATACAAAACTTATCGAAATCGGTTGACGTGGTCCAAAGCTATGCGGTAAGATAGATAAAAAACAAAAACACAAAACAAAAAATATTCCGCCGAACTGATAACCTCCTCCTTTTTTGGAAGTGGGTTAAAAAGAGAAAAACTATGAACTGTTCTCAGGACATCGAGCCCTTTTTCCGATTCTATCGTAAGCGACAATTTATCGATTTTTTTTTTGCAAATAGGTTATAAAGACTAGTTTACAACGTCCTGCAAAGTCATAGGGCTGGTTTCTCCAACTCAACTTGGTTTAGCCACTTTTTGGACTTTAGTCAAAAGTTAGCCTACGTTTTTACCAGCTTATTCTTGACTAAGTCAAGAAAATTGGCTTAACTAAGTTAAGTTGAGTTGGAGAAACGAGCCCATAGAGTTTGAATATGTACCGTTACGAAGGACAAGCAAAGTGTATTTTATCGTTTGCTTTGTTTATACTTTTTCGTACCCGCAATTTTATCGTAAGCGACATTGTGAGTATAGAACTTTATTTTGCATAGCAGTTTTACCCATAGTTTTAACCTAAGTTTGCTCAAAATTTGCATAACTGAGCGCTTGAATAGCAGCTTATTACCCTCATCAAAATAAACTGCATTCTTCCATTATACAACTGCAGCTGCAACCACTAAGTCGAGCATTGCGCGTCTTGTGGGATCTTTTTTGAAACTCTTGCTTTCTCATGGGTTTATAAGAATTAAAAGTGTAAATGGAAGATAAAAAGTATGCACCTTACTGTATTTTCAATTGCATCGTAAGCAACAAAAGGCCTATTTTAATTTTTTTTTTTTTACTTCGATAGAGATAAACTTTAAGATGATACAGTTATATGGATGTAGCCTACGAAATTATTTCACTTTGTTGTTCGCATTTCAAAATGCTTATAAAGTTTTGATTTCCTTATCATAACTTTTGCTGTTCAGCCGTTTTTTATAAAATTCTGATGTTTGCTTTAAATGGCTGGATTAAAAGATTTCCTTCAGCAAATTGTTTCCTTTTTTACCTATGAAACTCATGTTAAGTCGAGAAATATAACAATTAATTTCGAAACTTGCGACAAATCGTCTTAATATCATGATTTTTGCACTGAACTTTTTCTGTCAAACGATTAAATTTTATTTTTTTCTAATTCCTTAAAAAAAAACGGCAAAAAATAAGAAATAGTGGCGTTTTTTGAAGTAAATGGATCAAAACGGCAACACTGGTAGCACCTCCCATACAGACTGAATTATTTAGACTACCACATATTAATAAACTAACTTCAATTTAAAGTATTTAAAAAGTTAAATGAATTATTACTATATGGCCTACACTTTTGTCTAACCAATTTTTATGATAAACCTTACCGTTTAGCTGAAAAATGACAAAAATCAATTATGTGACCTTTGATCTGATGCAGATCTCGGATGGATGAGGACTTTTCACATTTCATTTACAGTTTTGTTCGTAAGATTCGTATCAGTTTTCAGCTTTATGCGAATTATTACAGATTAGCGCTTACACAATGTGTTAGTGGTACAGTTTTGCGCCGATTCCGAACGGCGATCCTATTTTTATGAGAAGCTGTTTACACTCGAAGCAGAAATACACTCGAAAGTTTGCCATTGCCTGCCGACGGGCAACCGCCGTTAAGAAAACACACTTTTTTCTATATTTTTGCGATGTTGCTTTGAGCAGGGCCCTGCGGAGTTGTAGCGTGCACTGATAACCACTATACCATAGCGGCCAGCTAATAGGAAACAATTTTAAACATGTGGTTTAAATCAGGGCTTCGGAGCGGAGCGGAACAAAGGAGTTAAGGAGCAAATGATTTTGGCTGTTAGTGGTGTTCAGCATATTGTAGAAATGGTCTTGGAATGNTTAAGGAGCAAATGATTTTGGCTGTTAGTGGTGTTCAGCATATTGTAGAATTGCCTTTAATGATTGCTACCATGGCAACCGTTTGCATTTTATTGTTGGGAATTTTCAAATGCGCCGAAATATGCAAAGATCTTGAACAGCCCTAATGACTTCCCAGCCAGCAGAGAAACGCATCCATAAACAAAACGACTGCCATTTTCGTTCATTTACATATCTAAAAACGTTTAATAAAGTGCCCGGAAACGAACAGAAAACGACTACAATTCTCATCCATTTTCGTATTCGGAAAACTTTTGAAAAAGGGCGTGTTCATAAGAGTTCCCTGAAGCTATATTTAACAAGTTGTAAAATATGCAAAGTGGCCACCGCTTGGTTTTTCTGTTGCATGATATATTTTGGACCATTTGATCAAAGGTATCTACGGCGCTTTTGGTCGAATTGTAGGTGTGTATAATTTCTGGCTTTTATGTAACTTCGTTTAAAGCGCCAGTAACATGCATTGTGGACAGTAGCATCACGATCTTGTTTTGTTTAGGCTTGTAAGACACCAAAGTCATTTCGTTATCAAACGCAAACA